CTTTTCTAAATTTGGTAAAAACCTAAATTTTATTTTGTCACATTTCATATCCAATAAAATCAAACTTCCACCATGCTCGTTTATTGGTGATAAAACGATCGATGTTACACGGATTAGCATCTACATCATTTTTAAAAACAATTTTGGAAACTTAGAAGCCCATCTTTAGAAATTTGATTTTTGTCCCCTACTCATCTTTATCAATTAGTGTTATGATTACTGCAATAGCCCCTTTTTATAACCAATTGATGGATAATCAAAGAAAACTCAAATCAATTAATCTAATTATAATAAGACAAAAAGCTCCATGATGTTACAGTCATTTGTATTGATGAAAAAGATGATAGAAGAAAAACCTACATCAATAAAGCCTCAGAATTAGATTTCAATGTATTATTTAATTATTTATTTAAAAAAAAATGACAAATAATGAACACTTTTAATGATTAAAAGAAAAAAGAACATTATTTGGTTAATTGATTAATTGATTATTTAAATAACATTAACAAAATTTAATAAAACTAGGGTTCAGTCAAAGAGTCTCCAATTGATATTAATGTAAGTAGTATAATATTTTTTTATGACCTTATAACCATGTTTATTTATTTAAAAATTAATACATTTTTAAAAATCACACACATACATTGTAATATATTTATTTATTAATATTAAATTGTTATTTAATAGAGAGAAGAAACAGAAATTAGATCGTTGACATTAGAAGTTGAAGTAAGTTGCAAATAAAATGTGGATTACTATTAATTTTCAATAAAATGTGTTAAAATACATAATGAATTTTTTAGTCATTAATCAATTGGCAAATATTCAAGATATAGATACTCATAATGAAGTAAGTAATTTAATATTTTTTTTGAGACCTTATAACCATGTTTATTTATTTAAAAATTAATACATTTTTAAAAATCACATAAATATACATTGTAATATCTTTATTTATTAATATTAAATTGTTATTTAATAGAGAGAAGAAATAGAAATTAGATCATTGACATTAGAAGTTGAAGTAAGTTGCAAATAAAATATGGATTACTATTAATTTTCAATAAAATGTGTTAAAATACATAATGAATTTTTTAGTCATTAAGAAATCAATTAGAAAATATTCAAAGTATAAATACCGGTAGTGAAAGAGGTAATTCAATTATCTATTTTTTTTGCAAAATTATCATAATAATTATATTTATCAAAATGATTCTGGTAAAAATAATGCTAATATTACTGCTAATGCTTCTACTGCAGCTGTCCTCACCACTACTAGTGATGTTGCTACCAGTGATATTAATAATAATAATATAATGGAAATAGATTCTGAAGGTAATTTCAGAAAAATTTATATTTTTGCAAATTATGTAATAATCATGTATTATATTCAATTATAATAGAAGTTTTTTATATTTTTAAAAATATATTTGTATTTATGGAAAAATTTAAAATCAATAAAAAATATTTATTATATGTAAATCTTTATAGTCACTGGTAGTGATAGAATAAATGATTCAGTAGAAGGTAATCAAGTTATAAGAAGAAAAAATACCCAAAGCAGCAAGTAAACAATTTATATTTCTGAAAGGGAAATTGATTAACATTTGTTTATTATTTTTAATCTTTAAATTAATAGGAGATAACTTGACAACTATTGCGAATAAGATTTTGGGTTTAAGTTAATATTGGGCCTTAAAAATATTTATTTATTCCTTGGACATTATTATATTGATGAACTAAACCTAAATATATCAAATAATGGTGATTTTAAATCCTTAAGGGGACATGTTAGCAAACATATTAAAAACTTGTTAGGTGTTGATAAAAAAACTGAACAATGCAAGCTTCTGATGAAGTAGAATATTTTCAAAAATATGAAAAATTATTATGAGATTTATATTCATAATTTTCTAGATCACATAAAAGGCAAAACTTATTAAAATTGATGCAGGAAATTAATGATGAACCAACACTTAAAGTATTGAATTTGTGTGACACTCAGTGGTTATCATTATCAAGTTCTGTACATAATTTACATCAAATCATGAATTCAGTTAGAAGGTGACAGGCATGCAATTATTTTACTTGGGCAATTGGATCAAGACTTCATTTCTGCAACAATGTTTCTTGCTGATTTAACAAATATTTTGAAAAGATTAATAATAAAAATATTTCAATCAGATAATCTATCCTTATCACAATATAAACCAAACATTGATGTGCAATTAAAGAAATAACAGCAGAATTTATAGGTGATGAAGAAGTTCCACCAAATCATGGCAAGATATTCAAAAATTATTTAGAAAAAAATTATCTTTCAGCACCTTCATTTGTTAAATATTACTCATTAGCAATGATAAAGGCCATCAATAATAGATTCCCTGATTCTGAACTATTTTCTTTGCTTAGAATTTTTGATCCAAATGGACTTCCTGATAATGAAAATGATTTAAATCTATATGGTTGGAGTGGGATAGAATTTTTAGGTAAATTTCATGGAGATACTAAATTGATAAATGATGAATTTTGTGAAATTGTTGAAAAAGGAAAACTCACAGAAGAGTGGAACTCTTTAAAATCCTATCTATATCACTATAAAAGTACAGAAATGTATTTTATTCAATTGTGGAAACACATTTTGGATATAGACAAAAAATTTTATTTCAATTATCCAAATTTAACAGCTATTGTTAAAATAGCACTCCTTATACCCTTTTCCCATGCACATGTTGAAAGAATATTTTCACAAGCAAATCTGATAAAAAACAAGTTGAGAAACAAAATGCATGTAGATACATTGAATAATCATTTAATGATTTTATTAAATGGTCCAGATATTCAAGATTTTAATTTTGAAAAAGCATATGAACATTGGACAAATAAAAAAGAAAGAAGATAATAACTTTTATTTTATTTATTTACTTGATATCAATAAAAATTTTTTTGGTTGTGATCAACAAATGTGCGCATTTTTAATGTAACATAATCCCGCGCACTCAATTTCCTACACTGGTTTGAAGACATCAATGTCTCCAGCTCATGTATATGATTATTGTGTTCAAAGACATCAATGCGTCCAGCTCATGTGCATTCTTATTGTGTTTGAAGACATCAATGTCTCTGGCTCATGTGCATTCTTATTGTGTTTGAAGACATCAATGCCTCTGGCTCATGTGTATCATTATTGTGTTTGAAGACATCAATGTCTCTGGATCATGTGTATCATTATTGTGTTTGAAGACACCAATGTCTCTGGCTAATGTGTATCATTATTATTATTGCATTCAAAGACATAAATGTGTCCAACTCATGCGTATCATTATTTGTGTTTGAAGACATCAATGTCTCCAACTCATGTGTATCATTATTTGTATTTGAAGACATTAATGTCTTCAGCTTACATATATCCTAATTGTATTTTAAGATATAATGTCTCCAGTTCATGTGTATCATTATTGTGTTTGAAGACATCAATGTCTTCAGCCTACATATATCCTAATTGTACTCAAAGACATTAATGTCTCCAGCACACACACATCATTATTTGTATTTGAAGACATCAATGTCTCCAACTCATGTGTATCATTATTGTGTTCAAAGACATTAATGTCTTCAGCTTACATATATCCTAATTGTACTCAAAGATATTAATGTCTTCAGCTTACATATATCCTAATTGTATTTGAAGATATTATTGTCTCCAGCTTGTGTATATTTTTATACTATTTGAAGACATAAATGTCTCTGACTCCTTTATTTATTATATATTAATTAATTACCAGTGATCAGCATATAAGGATATCCCTCATATGTGATTGTGAAGGTAAAAGCTGTATCCCTATGTTCACAGGGGATATAGGTGTAACCTTTCGGAAATGGCGAATTTTGAATGAAAGTGTATTAATTTGGGAATGATCGACACAAAAAATTGTATTACACTTTTTGTCTACAGGATGATATGGCAATTAATATTATAAAATTCTCGCATCTCATATATACATAAATGCTATAATCGATCATTCTTTATCTGATATACATTCCTTAAATATATTTTGTCAAAAAGAGGTCACTTTTGTTGTGATTGAGAAGAGAGAAATCATCAAGAATCCTTGAGTTTTGTTCTTTAGATTTTCCTTTAGCAGGATGCATTGTTTATAATTTTCAAATAAGTAAGAGTTATTATACTCAGAACCAAATAAGTTGTTTTGTCAAGAAATAGCCAATGCAAATCATACCCAGGAATTCCAAGAGATCATAATATATTATAAAGGAAAATTTTTTTTTACTCCAATGTTGCTTTTAAAATGTTTGATTTATTAGTAAAATTAATTCATTTTTTTTTGCTTGTGCTTTGTTGATACCTAAAAAGGCAAATTATTGTCATACACGTGATCAAAATGTCTTACCTGGGGGTGGGGGAGCACTTCTACTAAAACGATATTAGCTAATATATGTCAGTGCCCTTACAAGAATCTATTATCAAATATTTTAAGTTCAAGCGTAATTGCAAAATTATCAACGTATTACAATTTACTAGATTATTTCGGGGTGGTTCGGTCCGATCACCAATCACCCAAACCCTGCCCTTTCAAATTATTTATTGAGGGCGCCAAAATTGACTTTGAAAATCAAATTAGAATCGTTCACCTGCTCGAATAAAAGAAAGACATCATGTTGTAAATGACGAAGATGGCAATGATAGAACTGGTTCATCATACATTGTTGAAAAAATTAGATTAAATAATAATCAATGATGGCACTATTTGTGCTGCTAAAATTATCAGCGTTAACGACAAAGATGAAATTAATATTTTGAAATTATTGGGCCACGAGAATATTGTAAAGGTGGTTGATGATTGCGTTGACGATAATCGTTTTATCTTATCTTTGTGGAAACGTTGAAACCTATATGAGATCATTAGATGGTTTCATAAATTTCCAACACTGGCTTTCCAAATTTGTTCGGCTATAAAAGCAAGATACAATTTATTATGGTTTTTAAATTTTTTTTATATTCAGTTAGATATATATATCTATGTAACTTTTTTAAAAATACAATAAAATATACAATACATTGTAAACCTGATAATAATAACATCACGTTCACGGATTCTAATTCTAGTAGTGTTATAATTAGTTAATCGATTTCGGCAATAGAAAAATCCGATAACACGGGTGATTATATGAAACAAATCAACACAGCTTTAGTTGAGTCACCTTCTTATGTTGCGCCTGAACTTGTCAAAGTACTCAAAGATAGAATCTTAGTGTCGACGGCAGATATACGACATTTGGTCATTTGGAATAGCAAATTATTATGCACTGTCACAAAATATCCATGGAATTGAATAATCGTGTAAGGGTTAAAGAAGGGGAAGAAAAACAAGCGAATTTAATCAGCTTTATGTTGATATAACAGAAAGGTGCCCTAGGTTTCACTATGTTTAAATTGATTAGAAAGAAGTATATCAATGAAATTGAAGTCGTTATGGATTTCGTTCTTAAATTGTGTCAAGTAGATACAGATAAAAGGGACGAGAGCATTGCAACATAATTAATTTTATACAATAATAATTTTTATACTTGCAAAATTTTATTTTTACATTTTTATATTATTTATATTATTTTATTTACAATCAGAGTGTGTATCTGTCACTCACAACTAAACACCAGAAAAGATTCTTTGCATCCACCAAAAGCATAAAATGTTAATCAAAATTTCAGAAACAAAAAATATTGTTTCTTTGACGTATAATCGTTTATTAATCAATAATATAACAATAATAACAATCATAACAATAATAATTAATAATAATAATTAATAATAATAATAATAGTATATAGTAAATAATTAATAATAATAATTATAATAAAAATAATAAAAAGATTTAATTTTAATTTTATATAAATTCCCTTCCCCACCAAAATATTTTTTACATTACTAAAACACAAAAAATAAACTTAAAACATTAAAAATTAACTCTATTAAAAAAAAAATCTAAAAAAATATACATACATACATACATATTTACTATACATGATAGTAAAATATAAAATATATTTTTTTAACCTGTAACTTCTATATGAGTAGCAACTTTTGATACATAATTCTTATTGTCGTAATAACCTCGACTAACGTATACATCAAGCACATTGCGTAAATTAGTAATGAATCCAGTATCATCATCAACCAATTGTATCAATTCTATTGAATGTAAGGATTCTTTTACTGCGATAAAATGTAATGTGACTGATTCACACGTTGAAGGATTCAATGGTCTATATAATCATAAATATTTATTATGAAAAAAATTTTTGGGAGAAAAAAATTTACAAAGAAAATTTGAAAATTTCACTCACCCAATTCTAACATTATTTTCCAAACATATAACGTCAGCATCAGAAGTTTCATGTTCTAAACTTTTTTTAATAAAATCTTAAAAGGAATAAAAAAAAAAAAGAAAAATTAAATAAATACACACAATTTATATGAATAGATTTGTAAATAATAATACCAATTTTTTTTACCTGTTTCATCCATATAAGGTTCAATCGGATTAGTTGATTGAATGTCATTAATATTAGTATTATTTAAAGGCAAAGGCGATATTTTTGAATTTAGTGCTGAATTTGTTAAATTTTGGATTACTCTGTTGATTAAAAATTGCCAACAAAAATTAATAATAAATTTTTTATTAAATGTATTATTTTATAATTATTATAATCATTTACCTATCATTAGGTCTTCTTTTATTAGGTATAATTATAGTGAATTTTCTTGGATGTTTTGATTTGTTTAATATGAAGACATTTAAAGTAAATACTTTTCCTACAACAACTTTTGGACTCACTATATTTTGTATATTTGATTTTTTTGAATATTGGAGAAATAAAATAAAATAGGATTAATAAAATTTCTTAATTTTATTAGTATTAATAACATAAATTATTATTTAATCATTCTTACCCAAGAATGATACAACTACACCATCATTAGCTTCTTTATGATTATTATTGTGGCTGTTGTTATTAATGCTCCTGCTATCAATATTGTTGTGATTGTTGTGACGGATTCCAGGATTTTCAGGTATATTTGTTAGTTTAGGTATTATACCATTTTTTTTATTATTCGTTACATTATAAGAAGATTTTGAAGCAGTTGGAGTAGACACGCCAGTTGGCAAAAATATTGTATTGCTTCTAGAAGATCTAGTTGTTCCAGGGGTTGAAAAATTACTATTCTGATTATAATTATAATTATTGCTAATCATAGAATATCTTGAATTTAATTGCATTGACATATGACGAGATTTGTTATTATTGTTGTTATTATGATTATAATTATTGTTATAATTTTTAATAAAATTGTTTGGTAATTGTTGAGGAGGAGGCAAAGAATCATCTTTTTTTAACAAGTTAGTTAAATCCAGCATACAATTCCATCTTGATTCAATTAACCGATTTTTTTTACCATCGATTATCGGACACCCTTTAACAGTTATTGATAAATGTCGTTGTTTTTCCTCGGTCACAGGATATGATGAATTTGGATTATTGTTTAAATGTGGATTGGTTGGCGGTGTTATTGAAAATTTTCGTACCAATTGATTGTTAGAGTTTGGTTGTGGTGATGGGAAATATTGTGGATTAAATTTTGGAAATATCGGATTTTCGAGTATTGTGATACTGTACAGAAAAGTTGTTTGATCAACTGGTTGAAGAGTTAAAGGAAAATTTTCCTTTATTGTTATAAATAATAATAATAATAAAAATTAGTTTAATATATAAATTAACTATCACTATATATATATAATATATAATAATGATGGATAATTTACTTTACTGTCATCATCAGGATTCCAATCGTATCTTTTTATAAATCCATTTACAATATGTACATTAATGGATTCTATTGAAAATGAATTCTTTGTTTCTGAATTATTTTCCAATTCTACAGACATCATCAACATATTGTCTAAGGGCGAAATACTTGTTGTTCTCATTTTAACATTTAAGGCAGCTTTAACTGATAAAATTTTACGAACTGAACGTTTAGTTGATTGATTTGAAAGTGTTGATGAAGATGAACTGCTTCTTTTTATATCATTATGATTTAAAATTAAATTTTTTGGTGATACATTGAAACTTGGCGATTCGAATGTTGGATCTAATAAAATATGAATAAGAGATAAGTTATTATATTGTTTATCATAAGAATAACAATAATAACAATAACAAATTTATTTGACTGACCATCTTTTAAACCTCCTAATAAATTCATTAAACCATAATTTTCCGATGATATATAATAATCTGAATCAGATTTGTTGTTTAATGAATCTACTGGTTTTGGTTTTTGTCTAACGAAAACACCAAGTGATAATGCTGGTGATTGTACGTGAGTCTTTACATAAACTAAAAAAGATCAAAGTTATAATTAATGAGTAAGGTGCGCATGCGTATTTTGAGAATGATGCTTAAATAAATATAATGAATAAATACTTTCAAATCATAATCAAAAATCGTGATCATATATATCACATATGTAAATATGATCTTACCCACAGGTACGCTTAATGGTACAACACAGCTCCAACATTCGTTTCTTTGAACAACCACCATTTGTTTATCTTTGTTTTTTGGGTTGTAATTATAATAAAATATCAAAGTCCCTTCAGGAGCTTTAATAGTTTTCGTATCCATCAACGGTGGTGTAGGTACTGTGGGTGATGTAACGGTTGAACGTGAATCACTACTACTATTATTGTTAGTTGTAGAATTAGTTGTAACAGATGAACTAGTACTACTAGTATTACTACTAGTATTATTTGAAGGTCCTGTTATTATTGTATTATTATTATTATTATTGATGGTATCATCAGTAGTTACTGGTGGTAAACGATATACGGGTGGAAGAGTATTTTTAGGCATCATCATCAAACTTTCATCGACAATTGATGCTTCGACCGAAATATCGAATTGTTGAAATAATTCCAAAGCAGAACTTTTAGAATTTACATTTGAGTTTGGTGGTAAAGTTAGAAGGAGGTATAAATGAAGAAATTCATCTAAAAATAAAAAATTCGATATTATTTTCTATCGCTTTTTTTTTATCTTTAAAAAAGAAATTTTTTTTTAATATTTACCATAATAAGCTTGAGTTCTTTGTTCAGCGTTAAATAATTTGTCAATTTCATCTTCTTTACATTGAAAAACGCCATTTGGCACTAAAATATCCAAATTTAATTCATTAAATTCGTTCAACATTTTAAAATTTTGAAATTTTATCAGTAATTACAAATGTTTTGGAAAAAAAAAGTACACTATATATTTATATACAATTTATTTTTGATAAATTGGTTACCAAATTAGGTATCAGTTTTTAATGTGCCACCTTACAAATCACGCGGATGTAACATGTAACAGTAAACACGAAAAAACAAAAAACAAAAAATATTTTTGCTTTATACTTTTTTACTTTTTTTTACTTCTTTATGTGATGATGATTTAGCAGTGAACGAATATGTGAATGAACATGATTATTTTTATGAAATATAAGAAAAAAATCAAGTTTTTACGAGTTATGTATTTATTTATTTATTTATTTGATCACACATATTTTATTAATATTATTAATATTTACGTGTGTTTATACAATATTACATATTATTATTATTAATTTTAAACTGGAAAATCGTCCAGACCTGTAGATCATTTTGAGACATCACACTTAAATTATGTATGTTACACACTATCTAAAAGAAATTCTTTGTCACTCTGCTCCTGTTTGACCAATTATAATTCTTATTGTTATTAATATGTAAAAGTTGGTTTCTTAATCGAAACTAGGTTTGGCTTTCTATTGGTTGAAAACTGTATGTTTTTTTAAAGGAAAAAAACTTTTAATTTTCACGTTATTTTTTTTTAAAATAGAATTTATATGCAGTATAAAGAATGCAGGAAGTGATATTTTATTAACTTATTATTTTCGGTCAAATTGAGTGAATGATATCATTTTAAATAAATGCTACCTATTTTTAAATTAGGGTGAAAGATATATATTAATATCATGCCAATCTCTTTTGTCTTTGTCAATAATAAAAATTGATTACAGTAATTAGTATAAATGTAAAAGGATGGTTTTTTATTATATTCATTATAAAAATTACTTTTTATAAATTTAATTTAACTAAAATTAAAGATAGGCGTGGCTGGTTTGAAAAAAATTTCTTTCGGTTTCGTGTGACAACGGGAAGAAAAAGCGTGTTTGAGAATATGGAAATCTGCGTTGTGAAAAATAAGTACGTTTTTAAAAATGAATGATTTGACAAAATAAGAAATTGAACATCTAAGCCTTTTGTGGAGTTAATTCTTAAAAAATTTCAATTTTGGAAATTAAATATTCATCAATAAGTTCTCCCTCTCACAGAATTGTAGACGGCAGAAGGAAAAAATAAAATAATTAATTTGATTCAATCCAGTATTTTTTGTTTTTATTACATTTTATTAGTCAATCAAGCAAACCTTGTCTCCCTACTCTGTTCGTTGTGATATAAAATTATTTAATTTTCACATATGTGAATTTTAAATCCACATGGCCAAATACCACACACTCTCTTAATGTTTGTTGCTCTGAAATGCCGAAATGGGGTTTCATAGTAGTCGTAATTAATTTTAATATTAATATTTGCTGAAATTATATCCGAAATTAAATAAATCAAATAGCATAATTATTTTTCAAAATCAATTTTGGCAAACAATTATAATTGAGCATTTTGTATAAATATTATTATTCCATTGTGACCGCATTAAAAAACTTTGCAATTGCTTCTCTAGCTTTTGTCAACTCACTTTCTAAATCTTGACGCATCCATTGATCTAGTCTAAATTCAGACCTATCTTGAAATACACATAAAGTCTCTCTTACCGGTTTATTATATGTGCCATATAAACCATTATTAAAAGGGATCATCCAAAAGAAGTTGCAAGCGAAGAGAGTCTCCGAATTCTACAAACAAGATTCCGTGTGTTACCACACCACTCTCTTTATTTTGATTGGGTAGAAATATGACTATCTTATGCTAAAAAGGGTGTCTTATCTTATATTTTTATAGTAGGGATTTTCTACAAGATCGAATCCAAAATTCGATCTGCAAAAAAAATTTTTTTTATTTAATGTATTATAATATTCATTTTGTTCCTTATTTTTTTAATTTTGTTTGAGAAAATATTCTTTCAACATTAGCATTTGAAAGAGAAATAATAATTGCTATTTTAACTAGAAGATTATAATTAAATGAAAAATCCTTAATTGAATCAAAATGGTTTTCCAGAAATCAATAAAATCTGTTTCTGTGAAATGAATCTTCAATGTTTGTTACGCGGAATATAAAACGGAATAATTTTTAAAATAATAATTTATTATTAATTTATTGTCATAATAATAATTTATTATTAATTTATTGTCATAATCATAATTTATTATTTATTTATTTGTTGTTGTTGTTTATTATTATGCGGAGAGGAGTTAGATTTTTGTTTAATAATAAAACTGACAAAATCAAAATTTCGTGTAACCTACTGCGCACTCCGGTTCGCCGATTGAGTTTCGAATAACTAATACTGTATTTGATGTGGCATCCGATTTTGGTAAATTTTTTTGCTGAAAGTTATATACTTAATAAATGGTGTGACTATTTTGGTTATAGTAGAAAATTTTTATTATAAATCAATTTTTTATGTCATATTAGATATGGTTTACTAGTTCAACCAGCTTTATTAAACCGGATTTTGCGGAATAAACCCGGTTTTAAATACGATTGTATAGAACTCTACTTGTTATTGTCTGAAAATAAATATAAAATCATATAATACAGTGTTAAAGTTACTCGCTGCAACGTTTCCTTTTTGGGATTGCAATATGAAACACTATACAGCATTATTTATTTTGCTTTAAATGACAACCATCAACCTCATAAAGCCTTTTCCTGGATTACTTGAATCATTTAAAACTTTTTAATATTACATCTTGTGCTCCGAAATAACTAAATTCCTATCATAATCATTAATAATTCCTTTTGTCCATGAAGCAGTATAAATTGAACTAAATCCACCTTCAATTAATTTGTTACCTACCTTTTCAAATTGCTCAAAAGGTATCATTATTCAAAATATATTTTGACAAGGTTTATTTCTTTTTGACATTGTTGGATAAAGTTATTTATTTTGGATTACATCTTTGATTTATTTGTTTGTATTATTTAGGTTTTATTTTCCAATTAAAAAAAAAGATATAATAAAATTCTCACAAAAAATATTCTCGTATATAAAACATGCTAATACTAATACGGAAATTACAGAAAGAATAGGTAAAATGCATGAGTAATCAATAAGGAGTTTCAAGAAAGAGTTCAGGTTATTGTGTTTTATTTATTGATTAATCAAGTAAATTGATAATAATCTAATCAATTGTTACATATAAAATGCGTAATCATAGAAATTACAATCTATTTTGCACAACCATTCGGGGTGCATAGCACACTTTGGCATGCATTATTGTTTAAGCACGAGGCATCTTCACCACGATTGTCACTACTCCCGCACTCAGTAAAATCAACGCAAATTGAAGATTTACAAGCCGCATCTGCTGTGCATTCTATTCCATCTTCACGTGTATCTAGACTCTGGCATGTATTATCACTCTTGCGGCAAACACGTGAACCACAGTCAACATCTATACTACATTTGCTGTTTTCGATACCAACACAGAAGCGATCACAAGTTTTGCTTTCGCATGCTTCTTTTACTACACAACGTTCTCCAGCAGGACGACTATCGGAATCTTTGCATGCACTGGAGCCACAAATACTAGAAGCACATTCAGTATCCCCTCCGCATGTGTCTCCAATAGCTGATAAATGTGCATGATTAATAAAGATTTGAAAGAGGAGCTTTCTGAAAAAGAAAAAAATTTAATTTGACGGTACCTTTGGGAGTAAAACAGCGACTATCGCAATTTTTGCTATTGCATGCTCCATTTACTTCACAACTTGCTCCATCAGGACGATTATCGGAATCTTTGCATGTACCGGAACAAATACTAGAAGCACATTCAGTATCCCCTCTGCATGTGTCTCCAATAGCTGATAAATGTGCATGATTAATAAAGATTTAAAAGAGGAGCTTTTAAAAAAGAAAAAAAATTATTTGTTGACTTTTTTTATGATAATTTAGGACACACGAACCTTGTCTTTTGAAGAGTAGTCCTCTTCCAGAGTTGACGTAAGCTGCATTAATCAAGGTGCTAAATAAGAATGCTGCGAAGAGCGTGTTCAAAAGAATTCGTTTCATTGCTGAAATTTGAAGAGGCGCGATAAATGTAAATTAATGTAGTTTTGGTCAAGACTACTTTGACAAAAGTTGAGCTTATTTCAAAACTAAGTTGAGGAAATCTTTTGGTAGTTTCTAAACTCTATATTGGAAATCAAACAAGAGCTTTGTTATATCTATTTTATGGTTTTTATGAACGCCCGAGATTTTTGATATGTAAAGAAGCAAAAGGAATTATTGTTTTGATTTGTATGTTATATTTATACTTTTTGGTTCAATATTAACAAGTGAAACACTTTAATGTGATGTTCTATCAAACATATGCTATATCAATATAATAAATTATTATGTGCAGATTTTTTAGCATCTTTATCATGCACAACACGCTTAGGTTTTGATGAAATTTTGATATTTTTAGAAAAATTTTAATTAAAAAACTCTGAAACTCGACGAAAATGGTGATTATGATCATTGTGAGTCTCGGTTTAACGGATATACAGTCAAACCTCGTCACAGCGGATTGATGGGACCGGCCAAAAAAATCCGTTGTGACAAGAAATCCGCTATGGTGATGATCATGATTGACAAAAAATTTTTTTAAATATAGCATTTTGAAATTTTGATCTTTGGAGAAGGATAATAAATCCTGTTCGTTTTATTGTCTAAAAACTTTCAGTCATCTATTTGGAAACTTGGGATTTTGTTATTTGCAAATATTTGAACATACAATCTATTTAATTATTTGTTACTCGCAAGCACTTGATAAATTATTTTAGAAACTTAAAAAATATTGTTACTCGCAAGCATTCGATAAATTATTTTAGAAACTTGGAAAATTTTGTTACTTAATCAATTAAATCTATAAATTAAAACAAATTTTGTTGCCTATTTTAGTAATTCGGATAATTTTATAAATTTATATGTCACGTGAATCCACTGTGGTAAGATTAGTAGTCATATAGAAATATAGAAGGTTCCCAATCAAAAATCCGTTAACACTGTGACACGAATTTATTAATATTAATATTAATAAAATCCGCTGTGACAAATATTTTTAAAGAAATCCGCTGTGACGAGGTCGAAATTTATTATTATATATGAAATTATGTCATATGAAATTATGGATAAAGTAAATTTTAAAAATAGAAAAATAGGCAAGGGTTAAAATTGTAATTATAATCGATATAGAAGGTTTTGCGTTTTTTTCCATTTTAAGTAAATTTTCTAATGACCCTGCTATTACTAATACTAGATTATTTATTGATTATATTGAGTTTATCAAGAACTTTAGATAAAAATACATCGGATAAATTTTTTCAATGTTTTATATGGGTAAAGCTTTTGCTAAAATGGTTAAAAGGAGGAAAATATTACATGCTTAAAAGGGTAAAAATTTCTAATGCTAATTCTAATGGCCCCACAATTGGGGTCCTATTTGAGTTAGTATTAGGGTTGATCATTCGAGTTAAAAATAACAAACTCGGTTCGTAGATCCCGTTTTATTGGAGGATGTTTTACTCCACTTTTGGTTTCAACATTAATTACGTTATTACTATTATTATTATCAGAATAGTAAGTCATAACTATTTTTAAAACACATTATTAATTCACGTAATGTATTAAAAATGCAAGATGCACACATTATTATTTTTTTATTTTTTTTTTAATGAAAAAAAAAAAACCAATCAGAATATTTTGTTTTCTAGGTTTGAAAATTTTAATATATAATAACTTTATTGGCAGGCGTTATTATTATTATTATTGTCAATCTTTTTAGCGATCGATCGACAAAGTAAAAAGAAATAATAATAAAAATACATACATACTCTCGTAATATAACTAGTTCATGAAAAGAAAGATATCTTTTCGTTTTTTGAATACAGTTTGTAGCATAATGCCTCTAGTTTATGGGTAAGTTGTGCGTGAATATGAAATTTGCAATTCGCGCTATATGAGATTTAAGCCCGATTTTTTACTATTTTAAAAAATCTCTAATTTATTAATTAAATTTTCTATACTGTATAACGAACTTTTTCAGAAAAATCATCATCTATATATCCTACATCTGTCTATAACGAACTGATGATCGTATATCAGATTATCTTCTGTTAATTTTTTACGTTTTAACATTAATATTGATGTCCCACTAATCCTATATCTGCATCTAAATACATCATGATTGGTGATACTGAAAAGGGCCCCGAAATAATTTTAATGATTACTCCAAATGAACAAAATCAAGAAGAAGTCATTGAAGGGTTTCCATATTAGCAATAGAGAAATTAAACATATGCATTGGCCAACAATCCGAAAAGTTGCAACTAAGCAACAATGAAATTAAACCATTAAAAGAAAATTTTTTTAAAAAAAAAAATAGAAATTGATTCAAATCAACAATCAACATTAGATATTTTTTTTAAATAATTTGTATTTCACAAAATCGATTGCGTTATATGTAAACCTTTTGATCATTGATCACTTCATTATCAGTTTCTTATCCTCCTTAACATGATCCTTATCCTGATCACAATCATGATCATAAGCATTAAATTTTTTTTAACAAATCCCCTGTAACGAACTTTTTTAGCCCAGCCCAAAGGTTCGTTATAGAGAGTGTGTAATGTGTATTAGTATTATAATTATTTAATACGTGTACTAATCCAAACATCCCACCCCAAAATTTTAATTATAGATTTCAATTTCACATACAACTGCCCTTTATTTTATTATATATAACAAGAATCAAAAAATTTATTATTATAATAATTTAGCTTTGAATAATAGTTGATGGGTGATAATTTCCAATTAATAATGAAAATTTTATTCACCCTTGTTGACATTTTAGAGAAAAGAGTTAAAATCAAGATTATTTAACGAGCTATCATTACTTGTATAAAATTTTAAACTTTTAGATTTAGCAATCTCTTTATCTAATATTCTACTTTTATGATATGCATCTGGGTGTGATTTGTGTGCTTGTTGCGAAGCACTACTACCACTGCTAATAGTAGTATTATTACTATATATTATTATTATCATTTTTAATAATTTCATTACGTTTATTATAAACAAAATCAAACAGGTCATTATCAGTTGGCCTTTTTGATGGATCCACATCCCAACATCTCTGCATCATTTGCGCATAATCATCAGGAATTTCAGATAATATTGGTGGTCGTAAACCTTCACATATATCAAACGATGATTGTGACCCCTATCATCAAATGGTGGATGTCCTGCAAATATTTCCCACATTAACATCCCAACACTATAGATATCTGTTTCTTTTGTGTTCTTTGTACTACTAATTTTGCTCTAAGTAGCTCGGGTGCAATATATGATACAATTCCGTAGACTTTATTTGATGACTTTTCATCAACTAGTCCACACAATCTTAAATCTGTAATATAACAACCATCCCCTTCCACAAGTATATTACTACTATGTAAATTACAATGGACTAAATCTTTTCCATGTATAGCATATAATGAAATACATGAATAATAAAAGATTACAATTCTGTTTTTTAATGTTAAATTTGAATGATTTTTTTGCAAGTAATCCCTTAAATTTTCATTTACATAAGTTAAAACTATTGCATAGTTTCCATTATCTGGGAATTAGTTATACCATAGCAAGGAACAATCAATTAGTAATATATAATAGAATATTGTTTATAAATGACAATTACCAACCTCATCAAAAAAGCCTTTTCCTGAATCATTTAAACTTTTTAATACTACTAATTGCCCTCCTCCTAAATAACTAAATTCCTTTTTACTTTCATCATAATCAATTATTCGTCCTCTTGTCCATGTAGCAGTATAAATTGAACTAAATCCACCTTCTGTCAATTTTGTTACTTTTTTAAATTGCTCAAAAGGTATCCATTCTAAAATATATTTTGGCAGAGATGGTGAAAACATTGATTGCGCCAAAAGCTGAAAAGACCAAGCGCGGCTAAACGCAAAAGGAGACAATCGGTGAGGAAGGTCAATTGCCTTACTGTTTTCGGAAGGTGGTCATGACACGGCAAATGTTTCGTTCCTTTCTTGTGTTAAATAAATTTTGCGCATTGAGCAATCTGACCATTTTTGATCACGGGGGGTTTGTCGCCAACACTTGATTCCTCTGTGCTCATAAACCAAAGATAGTATATTAGAATTTTATTCAAAAACGGAAATAATATCTCACTTTTCATGGACTGTTACATTTCAAAAGTATTAATAGATGATAATAAAAATACATACTTTTATAATATAACTAGTCCACGAAAAAAAGAGATATTGTTCCCGTTTTTGAATAATATTGTAGTATAATACTCTAAATTATGGGCACAAAGGGTTTTTTATAATAAAAGAATTTCTGCATATTGAGTAAAAGACTGTTGGAATATGGCGATTTTTTATGGTTTTTTCATTGTCCTCCAACAAATCGCTCTGTGCCCATAAACAAGAGATAATATATTCAAAAATGGGAATAATATCTCTCTTTTTGTGGTCTAATTACATTTCATTATTATTGTAATTCGAAAAAATTACTTATTGACTAACACTATGTGAGATTTGTTAATCTACCAGAATGACACACGATCTTATTTATATTAGAAATATTTATATGAGGCGAATGAACATACCACCACAAAATGTTGAAATTTGCTAGATGGCACGATTACAATATAAATTATTTTGTTAGTGCAATCGGTCTAAAGATGACAATTACTATGGCAAAATCCGAAATTTTGGCATCTTGCCAAATTCACGTTCCAAAAAAGGAAACAATAAACCAAAGATAATTTTAATATTTTTAATAATATCACTTAATCCAAACACAAATTCAGATATTCTCTCCTATGAGAATTATATTTTCGAACTGCAATCAATCCAATATTTTATCAAATAATTGCTCGGAATCCTTTCATATATTTTCTATTCTTTCTGAATATATTCTATTACAGGGAGTTTGTCTGATTTATCTCTGATTTTGATTTTTCTTGGCTCTATTTATTGATGGTTTTTATAGTGAAGTAAGAAACCAAAAAGGCAAGCAAAAAAGTTCACTGTTGAAAATAGGCATTTTTATTGAGAATTACTTATTGTTATTGGTATTTAAATTGTGTTTAAATGCCATTCATACTAATATGCTTTAATCTTTATGTGTTAAATCATCAAGAATTACCAATACAAATACCGTCAGCTTAATTACGGTCAAGTCTAACCCCATTGTATCTAATAACGTCCCTATGGTGTCTAGACTAATGTTATAATTTATATGCCTATACATGTCATACACCTTCCTAGGTCACAGACAGTAGTATTTGTCAAATAAATAGAGGTTATTGGTGCGTTCACTAATAATATATACAAGGTTTTGGGATGGATAAATAGTTGGATGAAACTGTGTTGTTTAGGCGAATTTATATGTTAGGTAGTTTTGTCAATTTATTATTATTATGATGATTCAAGATTGTTATGAAACAAAAAGGTTATTTTCCAACTCAAGATTTTGACCTGTAACACTAATTTCGTACTTTCTTAAATTAGGACTTCTTCCACGGTCCTGCTTAAGGTTTCCGGTCCGAACTATCTTCGAAAAAAAGGTAACGTTGGCAATATCAATATTTTTTATAAGAATGAACATGAAAAAACTATATATTTTAATTTAAATAATTTAAAATTAATTTTTGTCCAAAGTGTTTCGGCTACTAAGAGAAGTAGTTTCGACTGGAAACCTTGGCCCTGTTCTTCCATAATGCCAACCAAATAAAAATGAAGAATTATTTAATCACATAAAGTACGTCTATAGATTTTTTATTATTTAATAGAGGTCATTAAATCATGATATTTTCACTTTGTGTCCCGTATAATAATAATAGCGTGATTAGTACAATCGGCGCTCGATATAAGAAAGATTTGGTTTTGACAAAAATTTTTACAAAAAATCCCGTGATATGACTTTATTTTTTTTTGCTATTACTATGTACTAAATTCAATTTATTTTTTTTGCGACACATTACTAAATTCAATTACTTTATTTTTCGCGCGCGACACATTACTAAAATTCGTTAATAAAATTCAATTGCTTTATTTTTCAACACTATTACTAAGTTTAATTCTTCCATTTCATATATAATACTTTTAAAAAATTTTTGCGACAAATTACCAAATTCATATTAATATTAATGTTAATATTCACGAGAAAATTTTTTTGCGACAAATTACTAAATTCAAAAATTTATTTATTATTTAATACAATTAAGTAATGATCAACAAAACTTCACTATATCGAGCTTTAGTTAAGATAATGGAACACTATATGATTATATCGAGAGTTTACATTAAAAATATATTTTTTGGTTGCTTGAGCTTTTTTAGGAACATCCAGCAGTCTGCAAAATATCTGCCTGTTGGTGATGGTGTGGTTTGGCCCGCTTGTTTCAATTCTTTTATGAAAAGATCTTCTTCAGCTTTGGAATTGGATACCACGCCCAGAATATTAAGATTGTTTATTGTTATTTCTGTAAAGCAAAGGTCCAACCAATTAGGAATAATACATAAGAGAAATAAAATTCATTATTCTTAAATGACAAATATTTTACCTTGATTAAATATACCTCTGTTAACAATTTAAGAAAGTTCTGAATACCAACTGGGTCAAACCTTGATGTTGGGTGATGAACCGTGTTACTTTTTTTTAAATATTGTGATGGATCCACCAGCCTGCCACATTTTAACAAGTTGTAATCTTAAGCCAAAATGTAGTAATCCTTCGATTTTTCTTCCCACCATTTTTCTAGATCCTATTTTTTTACCTCGATTTTTTCTATTGCTGCTGGCTGAAGAGGGAACATCAGTTCTATATAGCATCATAAACAAGATCACATTAGAAATGATGATTTATTTATTGCACTAGTAAAAAAAATGGATAAATACCTTTTTATATCAGTTCCAAATTTAGGGTCCCTGGAACAAATATCTAGGAACTGGTCCCATCAAATTGACAATATACCAATTTTCATATTGTGTTCTTGCTAAAGGTACAAAATCGTTTTCCCATAGACTAAAGACTAATGCCGTAAATTATGATGATGGTAGTAATTGTATTTACGGCATATAAAAAGTGGTTGCGACCACTTTTGCAACCATACTTTTTCCTTTTTTGGATTACGGCACTAGTCTTTACCATAGACTCACTAGAGCTCTTACTGATTGATGGATCCATTCTTTATCATGGTGCAAAGAAGGATTATAAGTTTCTCCATCGTTGAGATAAGATTTCATGAAATTACTTCTGATTTCTTTTAACTTCTTTTTTTTTTTATAAGAAATCATACGACTAGCCAATTCATCTGATATTTCGAAATTTTTCAGTTGGTCTTCTTTTGTTAATTCAGTCCATTCAGCATTACTAAATAAGCCCTTTATCTTTTCATCATGAAGATTTATTATAAACGAATGGGCATGTCTAGTAAAACATTCCAGAATCATGTAAATTGTGTGTTAGAATTGTGGATGACAAAATCAAATTAAATATAAAGAACCTACTCTTCATGTATTGATTCTTTGCATACCCGAACAATGTGTCTTCTACAATTTCCCAGTAGTTAGCTTCATTTTTGATTCATTGGGTATTTTACTAACAGGAGAGACTGACCGTCCTGCATAAAGGAAAGAATTTTTACAATTGATTTCAAAAATTTTTTTTTTATAGTTTTAAATACTTTTACAAGGGTATCACGTAGCCCATTCTTGACAATAAATCATGTGTAAATAATTACACAAACTTGAAGCTTTACACTTTGTTGCTATCATACCTTTTGAATCCCACAACTTTCATAATAATACGATTTACTCAAACGTTGCACAGAATGTAAACCGCTGAATCAGCTAAATTTCGTCAACTGAAAGGCAATAAATGGAAAGAAGCTGAGAACAACAACTTAGTGAAAGTAACGTGTTGTTTTATGTAACATTTGTTATATGAATTTTGTAGAAAATCCTTTAAAAAGAGAACCTAGGAGAGTAAAAACCA